CTGGGAACCATTGCCTTAGAGTCTCGTCTCTCCATCTATGTTTTTCGATATCAAGGAGATTAGCTACTGTCTGGAAGGGACAATCAAAGGATTTATTATATCCAATCAAACTGCCTTGTCTCCCTTTTAACGAGAGATTAGCCCAAATGTTGACTTGCTCCCCATTTCCTATTACATAAAGGCAACCTCTTTTTAGTGATTCTTTCCCAACCTATAAGCTTTTCCATCCCCAAGAGGCTAAGTTTCCCTTCTTTGCATGAATAATACTACAGCAAGGGAAATATCTACCTTTAAGGATTCTGACCATAAGGTATTTGGTTGTTGTATGACCCTCCAAGATTTCTTTGCCAACAAGGCCAAGTTGAAGCATTTGAAATCTTTGAAACCCAAACCTCCCTCCTGTTTCCTTCTGCATAGATTGGACCATTTAACCCAATTAATTTTCTTATCATTGATCCCAGAGCTCCACCAGAATCTCCTTTACTTCCTAGAAGCAACATCAGAAATAGATTTGGGGAGAAGGAAACACGACATGGAATATGCTAGAAGGGCATAACTAACTGACTTGATGAGAACTTCCTTCCCAGTTGGTGTGAGGTATTGTTTCTTCCAACCTTGAACTTTATTTTTTATTCTATCTCAAATGTACTGAAAGGCTTCTAATTTGGACTTTTCCACTTCTACAGGTAAGCCTAAGTACACACTAGGCTTCCCAACTCTTCTCACTCTAAGGATTTGAGAGATTATTCTCTGAAATTTCCTTAGAGTATTAGGGTTGAAGTACGCCTTAGACTTCTCTAAATGAACTTTTTGTCTAGATTCAACTTCTAATTGCTCAAGGATGTCTAGAATCTGGTGACTCTCATAATAGAAGCCTTAGAGAATATGTAACAATCATATGCAAATAATAGATGAGAGGCTACTGGGCACATATGGTTCATTTTAATTCCAAAGGTCCTCTTTTGTTCTTGTTTCACAGTAAAGGTGGATGACAAAGCTTCAGCTACCAACAAAAACAGGAAAGGGGATAAGGGATCTCCTTGGTGGAGACCTCTTGAGAGATGGATGACCCTTCTGAGTAAGCCATTTACTAAAAGTATATAAGAAACCGTAGACTTACATTGATAGATCCAACCCCTCTATTTATCACCAAAACCCATTTTTGCTAAGACTGCATCCACAAAACTCCATTCCACCTTGTCATACGCCTTATTCATGTCCAATTTCAAGGCCATAAAATTGGATTTCCATTTGGTTCTCTTCATATAATGGAGAAGCTCATGTGCCACTAATATATTATCAGAGATTTGTCTCCCTTGGATGAAGGCACTTAGGAAAGGTCCTACAAGATTGTCAATGACCCTCTTTAATCTATTGACTAGGACATTGGCTATGATTTTGTAGGAGGTGTTACAGAGGTTGATAAGCCTAAACTAAGTAATTTCCTTTGGGTTTTTCACCTTAGGAATGAGGGTGATAAGGGTGTTGTTCAATTCTTTAAGCATTGCCCTTGAATAGAAAAACTCTTTGATTGCCTCATAGACTTTTGGTCCTATTCCCCCCCCCCCCCCAATACTTCTGATAAAAATAATTGGGGAAGTCGTCTGGGCCAAGAGCTTTGTGGGGATGCATTTGATTCAAGGCTTGAGTTATCTCTTCCTCAGTGACATCTTGCTCTAGCATTCTTGCTTGGTCTGGAATGGGGGAGGCTTTGATATTTTCTATACTTTGATACTTACTCCTCCCACCAATGCTCTTCAATAACTTAAAAAATTTGAGATGAAGTTACTTAAGTTGCTCTGTCCTTCAACTCAGTTCCCTTCTGAATCCTTGATTTTGTCATTTTTGTTACTAGACCTTCTCTAGACTATGGAGGCATGGAAGAACTTGGTGTTTCAATCTCCCCAATTTAACCATCTGACTCTAGACTTTTGGGCCCATAACATCTCTTCTTTCAGTAGCTCAAGGTCTAATTTCTTTTCAAGAGTCCAGATTTGTTCCATTCTGTTGTGCCCCTTCTCATTTTGATTCAGCTAATATAGTTTGGATTTGATAGCCTCTATGTTTCTAGATATATTCCCAAAAGTTGATTTATTCCACTGTTTGAGTTTACCTCTAGTTCTCTCCATGTGTTATGCCATCTGGAACATCTTGGAATCCCTCTCATTAGAATTCCACACATTAGAAACTATTTCCTTACAGCCCTCATGAGTGCTCTAGGCTACTTCAAAGAATGGTCTTGGAAACCAAGTTTGGTTAGGGTCCGAGTCTAAGAGAATGGGACAATGATCATACATTGCTTGGGTGAGGTGGACCAGTTATCCATTTTCATGCTAAAGTCTCCAATCAGCTGAAACAAAGGCTTTATCTAGTCTTTCCTCTACTAGACCTCTTTCCCTCTTGTTAGACCAGGTGAAAAGGTATCCTGTAAAACCAAGGTCCTGGAGTCTGCAACTATTAATAACATCCATGATCTCCTCAATTTCCCTTCTACGGAGGTAAGTACCATCTTTCTTCTCGTTACTGTTCATAAGACAATTCCAGTCCCCGATACAAACCCAGGGAATAGAACTATTATGCCCCAAGTCTAAGAGATAATTGAAGAAATCTCTTCACTAATTATCATAGGGGGGTCCATAAACTAAGGTACAAGCCCAATTATTGCCAATCCTTCTTTCAATTTCCACATGAAAGCCAAAGGAAGAAGACTTAATCATTGTTAAATTAATTGACTTCTGCGCCACATGAGAATGAGGCCTCCTGCTCTGCTCATAGGGTCTACAAAGGCAAAATTCTAGGCAGAAGGCAAACGAAATTTCTTCATATGGTTAAAACAGTTATATGTTTCCATCATAAACCATATTTGGGGTTTATGTGTCCCAATTAGGGACTTAAGATACCAAACTGTCTGAGGCTCCCCTAACCCCTAACAGTTCCAGGCTAGAGACAACATTGTTCCCTGTGGGGCTGATTTGGGGCAGCCACCCACACCCCTTGAATGCAGATTCCATAACTATATGAATCAATTGTGTTATTTTGGGTAGGAGCAACAATGAAACAACCAACAATCTTGCTATAAGCAATGGACCCAATCGAGTTTAGTATGTTGTGGTGTAATGCACTATAGGAAAATGAGGCTATAGCTACGACACTTTAGCTACGATAAAAAAAACCATAGCTAAAACATGGGATATAACCACAGACAATTTGATGTCCATGGCAAAAGGTTGAGCTTTAGCTACAGACAATTTGTCTGTGGTTAAAGTTATTCTATCCATAGCTAAAGGATATTTATAATCACGGTTATAATGTATCCATAGCTATAAGTTACAAAAGCATAAGTTGACTTGTAGCTACGGTCATTTTGTTTGTGGCTAAAGAGCTATTTATCACTATAGCCACGGATAACTAAAATTCTGTGGCTATAACTAATAAGTTAATTATCTTTAGCTACAATCATTTTATTCCTAGCTCATAAATAATAATCATATAATATTCATTTAAAATATTTGTTATTTATTAATTACTTTTTATAGTAAATTAATAATTAAGAATTTATTAGAGTAAATGTATATAATTAATAATTAACAAATTATTAGCTCATTACTATTGCATAACAATAATAATTAGTGATTACTATTTAATAATAATTAAACTAGAAAATAAATTATTAATAATTTCATAAGTACATTAATAAAAAGATAATAATTTCTAAAATAGAAATAAATAAGTATTAATTATTATATGATTAATTAAAACTAATCATCAAAAATTAATTTAATTATTTATGTAAATTAATAATTAATAGAAAATAATAAATTAAACATGAAAACCACTAATAGTAAATTAATTAATTACTTATGAATGAAAATAATATTGAAAATTAAAATAAAKTATTTGAATGCATAAATAAATTATTAATAAAGTAATAGTTATACAATATAGATAATTATTAATTATTATTTTATTAATTCAATAATAGCTAATAATTTATTTAATAAATTAATACTTATTTAATAAATTATTTCAACCACTTTACCAAATTATTTTTGGCTCAAAGTGTAATTTTTAACTTTTTTTATTTGTGAAAGATGAAAAACTAAAATAAAATATAAATAAATCGATATATATATATATATATATATATATTNATATATATATATATAAATATGTAACACTAACCAATGTTTAGAATATATATATATATATATATATATATATATTCTACATATTTATATATATATTCTACATATTTCAAAATAACATTATTTATTCTATATATAATAAAACATATAACACTAACCAATGTTTAGAAAGTTGGACGAGACTAGCTAATCAGATTATTGTTAAACCATGACCCAACCCTTAACCAATTTGATCATACACCTAACCCTATTTTCTCTAAAAAAAAGCCAAAACTATCACCCAAAGTGGTCTAACCCAAGAACTAATGAATTGGTCTTGAGTAACTTTTTTGCTACTTATGTGTTTTAAAGTACTAATCAAGGCACCTTAGGTGCCTTGCTATTTTTGCCATAAAAACAAGGGTGATCATTTTAGCAAGTTGAAAAATTTTGCTCTTGGACCTAGATTTTGTGTTTAAGCCATGGCCAAGGCTGGAGCCCTCATTAGAGCCCCAAATTTTAGGGTTAAACCCTAGCCAGAGTGTATCATATCAAAATTTTGATCATTGATTATAGCCACAAATGTTAGTCATTGGTGGCTATATATTGATTATAAAATATTAAAAATAATAAAATAATAAATATTTTAATAAAAATATAAAAATTTATAAATACTGAAATATTTACTAAAATGATTAGAAATTCATGTAATGCATGGAAATTAATAATTAAGAAATATTTATTATTTATTAATTACTATTAATAGAAAATTAATAATTAAGAAATTATTAAAATAAATAAATTAAATATTAAACAAATGTATAATTAATAGCAAATATGGTCGGACCGTCATCAGTTGGAAAACATTGGCGCCTAGTCCATTATCACCCCGCGGGAAATCTTCACTCCCAGTATAGTCGAATTTTCCATCGTCCCCTTCTCTCTTACTCTAAAGAATCGCTTGATCGAGCTGCAAGATCTCCCCCGTTCTGACTCGAACGAACGCCCATACTCGGATTTTCTCCATCATCCCCTTCTCTTCCACTCTATCATCAAGAATTGATTTTATTAGGCCTGCAACATCAAGAATCATCCCCTTCTCTTTCACTCCGTCCTCTCTCTATCTTTCTATTTTTGATTTGAGTGTCTTTCTTGGGAAAACCCTAGTGGCATTACGACACCATTGCCGCCGGAAGAGTTGTGGTCACTCCCCCTTCTCTCTCACTCTATCAATAAGCAGTTGATGGAGCGTGCAACATCTCCCCTGCTCTCACTCAAACGATCTCCAGCTTGCTAAAACCACTGTCTCTCTCTATCTTTCTTTTTGTAACCGAATGTCCTTCTTGAGAGAATCGGCATTACGGCACCATTGCCGCTGGAAGAGTTGTGGTAAGATACAGCCGCACGTTGCTTCTCATTTTCCTTATTCCCTCAAACATGGCTAATGGTTAATTGTACTAAGTGTGTTATTGTGCTTGAACAGGCTTTAGGCTTGGTTGAAGGTGGATTTATCTATTTGTGGCATTTGGAAAGGCAAGGTAATTTGTTCCTATTAGTTTAGTTGATTTTTTTTTTTTTTTTTGTGTATTTTCATGCTTTAGTTTAATTGGTCTGAGATAGAATTTATTATTGATGCTTTACTTCTCACCTCTGTGAGGGATGCTTTAGCATTTGGTTGCCGCCATTATTGCCATTGGGAGAATGCATAAGTTTGTGGTTTAGCAATCTGTTGAAGAAAACAAAAGAATGTGATGATGTAATGTAATTGAAAACTCTCAACTTGAACACCCAACTTAATTCAACAATTTCAACCTCCATCTGCACATTTTTCTTTGTGCCATTATATTTTAGCAGCCCTTGCTTTAGCAGGACTTGATGCCAATATATTTAGAAGAATCAGTGCTTCCCTCATGAACAAGGTCCTATACAGGGCAACATTCTGTTGTGTGGTCTTTGTGGACTATTGCCTGAATCCAAAGGCCAGCTTTGTATCCACTGTCCTATCTCCTCTAGAGTGTGGGACCATTTTCTCAGGGCTGCTGGAATTTGCTGGGTCATGCCAAGTTTAGTCAAAGACCTTCTATTTAGCTGCGAGATTTCAGGCCTGAAGAAAAAAGGGAAATTAATATGGAAGACAATTCCTATGGCTGTTCTTTGGGTAACCTAGTCAGAGAGGAATAGGTGAGTCTTTTGCAACAAGACAAAGAGTACTGATGAGGAGGCAATCAGCAAGCTGATTTCTTGGGTGTCTGTATCTCCTGAATTTAAGAACCTGAATGTATCCGAATTAATAAAATTTTTCCTTACCTTTCAAAAAAAACAAAAAAATAGAAATGGTTTGGTTATGTGCATCAAGGACCAATTAGAGTGCCAGTAAGAAGTGATTTAGTGTAAGCCAAAGCTCCAAGGGGACAAAAAAAGGATGTAGTTGAGGCAGTCAGACTTCATGTCCTTCCATTTAACAAAACATATGGCCCTAGAAACTATCAAACCTTGACAACTGAATTTGACAACCAAAATGTCAACCTGCATTCAAAAGAAAACTTAATCAGTTAGAGCATCAGAGGAAATAAGTTTAGTGGTGCACCCTTAGAAACTATCAAACCTTGACAGTTCCACATTTATAAAGTGGAAGGTTTGTCTTTCAGGAAATCTGGGCAGACCAGATTTTTGGTTTGGGGACATTAGCTATGAATGTCCCACTTGGACTCAGAATCCACTTCCCACTTAACTATAGATAACCTGCTTGGTGCTTATATATAAGAAGATGAGAAGATTAGAGGAGAGATTGAAGAAAGAAAGTTGAACACGTGGCTAGCCTAGACATCTAAAATAGAACCCTATCTTTACTAAATCAAGTACCCCCAAAGGAAAAAAAAATCTTTACTAAATCTTATCGATTTCCTCACAATTAATGCCAAAAGGTGCCCCAAATGGTATTTGAATATCCCAATTGCTTGTTTTGCAAGGCCCTTTATCCCCTAACATAAACCCTTTTTGCTGTACAAAGAAACCAAACCCCTTATCACATGCCTTATTTTGTGTGGGTCCAACCCTACAGAGACAAGTTATTGTTTCTTTTTGAGAAATCCAAGTCGGTCCACTGATGCTCCATATCAGTTTTGGTGGTTCTTGGATGTCCATGGATGTGAGATTAGTACTAGCTAATCTATCATTAATGACTGACAATTAATGATAAAAAATTGTTTATTCTGAACTTGTACTAATCAAATTCTGATCTCCTTAACAAATTCCAATGTCACTTGAATCGATTGAAAATTTTCAAATAGGCTTATGAAGCTTTGGATTGTCACAACTCTGATGGGCACCAAATTTTACAGCTAGCCTATTTAAAGGCTTTGATATGAGTGCACCTGGTCTTTTACGTGGCAATGAATTTGACCACACTAGATTTGCTAATCTTTAGAGGTCTAGTCATTCCAAAACCTGTTGATTCTTCACTTACATCCTGTATTTCCATTTCCACCACCCAAATCCAAAGACAGGCTTAGGGAAATCTCCAAATGTATTGTGATTCTAATTATGATATTGGAAAGTTCAATTGGTTTTCTATAGTGAACTTGTTGTCATTGAAAAGATAGTGAGTATAGACTCCTTGAAGAACTTGGAAGAGATCATTCAGATATCAGATGGAACCATGGTGGCAAGAAGAGATCTAGGTGCTCAGATCCCATTGGAGCAAGTCTCATCAGCCCAACAAAATATAGTCAAGTTATGCAGACAGCTAAACAAGCCTGTCATTGTTGCCTCTCAGCTTCTTGAGTCAATGATTTAATACCCTACACCCACCAGAGTTAAAGTGGCGGATGTTTCTAAACCAATTAGACAACAGGAAGATGCTTTTTGGTGAGTCTACAATGGGTCAGTACCCAGAGAAAGCATTGACAGTACTGAGAAGTGTCAGCCTGAGAATTGAAAGGTAGTGGAGGGAAGAGAAACACCATGAAGCTATGGAATTCCCAGACATCTTTGCTTCATTTGTAGACAGGATTTCAGAGGAGATATTCAAGTCTGCTGCTAAGATGGGGATAGGGGGAGTAAAGTTCCATGGACGGAAAAATACATGGTCAATGAGGCATATTATTGTGCAGAAACTCATACAGCCTTACAGGAAAAAGACGGATAGGAATTGAAGCTTTCTAAAAGCTTTAGATTGAATCCCTTCTAGCTCCTTTAATAAGCATGTATCTGATTGACTTGAAATGTGAATGGGTTTTCTCTGAAAAAATGTCAATATTTCTTTCATGGCATATACTCTCTCTGAAGTGGACATTAAGGTCTTTTCTCCAGTGAGAGCTTCATTTGGGCTACTCTGTCAAGGGTCATTACCCTATGTTGGTCATGGCTATCAAGGGTCTTGGGTGGGGTGGACTGAATATTGACATAATTTTTACATAATTTATAGAGTTACTCTACTCTGTTAGCTGTTCCATAGTTACATCAGATATGACTTTAAACATACATTAGCATATTCCCACCAGGGAAGGAATCAACAAACTTTATTTGGTGTGTGTACCTAATTGAGTAAATCGGCATTGCTTTAGCTTAGGGAGGACTAAAACTTAGGTTAAATCGGCATTGCTTTATAGAAGAAAATGTCAAGTTTGTAGTGTATATTTGTATTTTATTCTTTTTTAATAAATAAATGCACCACCAATTACCAATAAAAAAGAATTTTGAACTGAAGGCTAGCCGGTTGCTGAAATAAACAGATTTTTCTTATTGTCAGTATCATGTGCAAAAAATTTGGGGAAAACAAATCACATGGTTCTTGTTGATTTTATGGTGTGGTAATCTGTTATTTTATTTGTAATCATTATTGTTGAAGTGCTCCTGCTGCTTTGATGCTTGATGGGTATGGACCTGTTTGATGAGGGTAGAATTGTGATCTTAGCCAACGATCTAGAGGTGGATGCACTTTTTGTTTATAGAAAGACAGGTCACATGGCATCTCTCCTGGTCACATTGCCGACCTAACTGCCCAATCTTTGCCTTACTTCAGTAAGGAGGCTTCTGAACCTTCAATCGGATTTAATACCATTCCGTTTGAGCTTCTCTAATGATATGGGGAGCAACCTCAGTAGATCCTTCTCTGTGCTAAAGGCAAGGCGGATGATCCTGTCCTGTGACCTTGTCATAGCTCTCTCTGATATGTTGCAATCCATTCAAGTGATCATGTCCCTTGAAGAACAACAGTCAAGTGAAGATTCAACAACTTGGTTGTTGCTAGAAACTCAGAGTGAGAAGCCGTCTTTGATCAAATCCAATAATCTTGAAACCGATGTGCAACCCCAATTGTACTATATCTGGCTAAATGTGAAAAGGATGATTAAATCCAATAATCTGGAAACTGCAATCTCATATAGTTGCAATGGAAAAGACCTTAAAAGATCAGAGATACAAGAAAATATTCTGGTATCCTTTTCTATCCATCTGAAAATTGCAAACATGTATTCACACTTCTGTATTTAAATAGAAAGCTTTTATTGTTTATTCTGTTTTCTTTTTTCTTTTAATTTTGGTGAAGGAACTGGATTGATAAATTGTTGAACCTCAACATCATCCAATAATAATAAGAAACAGAGCACCACCCAACCAAAGAGGTTAAACCTTACCATTTTCTTTACAGAGGACCTTTCTTCTCAGTGTTCAGACACGTTACTACGTGCCCATTGGCTTATCATGCTACCATTTAGGCCTACATGTAATGATCGGTGGTCCTGCTAGGGCTGGTAGCCAACACCTAAATCAAAGAGTATGGCATTGAATGCAGGCTAGCCTTCACGTGAAATAGAAGGAATTCTGGAATTGATTCCTCCTCCCTCCCTCCCCCCCCCACTGATGCAAAATTTGCTCCACTTTCATTTTCCTTCATACAAAGCAGGGACCATATCAAGAAGAATAGTCGTAAGATAAGTAAATTTTACTTTCCTCAGCTAAGTTATATAGGAATTTTGTTTTTGATCTAAGCAAATTTTCTTACTTTATCCTATTTGCATCATTATCATGCCTCTTGAATCTTGTATTTTAAATATAGAGTAATTTGTTAGTTATTTGAGCCTTTCTATTTGATGTAGTTAATTTTCATGTCTATTGTTTTGCTTCTATGTGAAGAAAATTGAGGAAGTTGCAGAAAAGAGTAAACAAACTAAGCTTGTTCTATTGGTGTTACGGAATCGCCTTGGTCTTGCTTGGCGTGATGTGAATCTTCCTTTCCTTCTTTCTTTCTTAATTTGGTCCATGCATGAATTAATGGAGAACAAGTAAATCATCATAATTCTTACTTTTACTAAATGCTTTACTGAAAATTGAAAAATCACCAATGACTTTAATTTGTATTTAAGGAATCAATGCTTAGAGATGTGTAAATACTTGTTAATTTGTTTAGCTTTCCTAGGGGGGAGATAGAGAATGGATAATAAATATAGGAAACATAGAGCAGAGCACATTAATTGTTTTCCCTTTCCCAAGGTTGGATAGGTTGAAGAAAGAATGAAAGATGACTGCAGACCTGAAGTACAAGATGAGGCATGCAAGGGCCTTGAAGTGTTATTGGTCTGATGAGAAATCTGAATTCTGATGGAATTTCTACTGTGGTAGATGGAACCTTGCGTGCAGCTTTCCATGCAGCTTGAAATGCCTGTATTAGAGAGATCACCATACACATGTTAGAACTTAGAAGTAGTTAGAACTCTCTCTCTCTCTCTCTCACCTTGGAATCATCGGAAATTCCATCACCCTTAGCTCCAAATGATAGAATGCCATAAATGGTTGAGTGGCTCGGATACGAACTGTAGTAAGGAGCTGGGGCAGGTGCAGGGCCTGGAGCATTGCCACTGTTGTCACTTCTTCTTTGTTTCTGATTCTTGGGACTTCTGCTCTTCATTCTGTGGTTCTTCCTAGCCTCAACTGAAATTGTAGAAAAAGCAATGAATGTCATGATCAGGAAAACCAGCAAAAAGAGGAGGGATCTGTTCTTATTTTTCTTCATTTCTTTAGCCTTCTCTCCTAACAGAGATTGTCAACTGTTCTCTGATGAATTTCAGGAGAAACTAACTCTGCCTGGAACAGTGGGAATGAAGAAGGTAGCTAAATGCAGTTTATATAGAGAGAGTAAGAGATTGCACAAAGAGGGAGGCTGTGGTTTTGAATTGCAAGTACAACCATCATTAATTACAAAAAAACACCCATGCTTTTCAAAATTTAGTTTTCTGAACTCTAGAATTTGGATAAAACTCTTTCTGCAAATGAGAAGCAAGCTTGACTTCAACCAGTCAATAATTAACTTGACCACTATCATCATACATTCATACCCATCAGAAAAAAATATGAAAAAGGGAAACCATCATCATGATTCATGAAAAATGTTGTCTGAGTCATGGATGATCAATCTCAGCCACTCAAAAGTCAGGCCTATTCATTGTAAATCCTTTTACAAGATGATGAAGAGTGATAATAAACATGATTTTCCATTCAAAGTAATATGGGCACTGCTGCACCCTCTAAGGAAATGTTGGTGAGGAAAGGCATGAACCTAGCTGACACATCATGCCTCTTGTGCAACATGGATCTGAATTGGCTAGCAAATAGCCACCTATATTTTACATTGCAGATACTGCAGAATTTGGGAACACATAACAAAAGCTTTCCCATATTTCTAGTGCATGAGCATTTCTGTCAAAGACCTAATGGCTGGATGGCATATCTTTGGCATGAACAAGAGGGGTAGACTTGTGTGGTCATCTATTCCCATTAGCAGTCCTGGACAAAGAAAAAAACTTATGTTGTACTAAAAAAAGATGAATTATCTGCTTCTTTTTAAACAATTGACTTTTTTGGAGGTCCTAAAATGTTGATTGGATGTATAGATTATTTGCTTCTTTTGTATGTTTTTTTTTCAGTTAATACAAAAAAACTTTTACCTTCTCTCTCTCAGAAAAAAAAGGAGAAAGATCCAAGAACTTAAAGCAAGATTTTGGCTTAAGGAGGTATAAAATGAGAAATGACAACTTAGATACTTTGGTTGATAAAAGAATGAAGTAAAGCTATGCACTAGCAATAAGTGGAGTTGTAATAGGGAAGCTTTGTGATGGGGTTTATGAGGTCCTAGGAATGATCTATAAAATGCTTGTGACTTTATAGGTTTTTGTGTGTCAGCTTGTGGTTGTATGTGCTATCTTATAATCACCCTTCATTTCAAACACCTTGAAATGCTAGGGATTGCCTTTTCCTTCTACCATATTAGTGCCCATTTGGGAGGGATTTCGGTACACAACTTCTTGTGTTTCGGGCCTGGCCCTACATAGAATTCATAAATGCTGTTGTGTTTAGTGAAAATCCAGAATTCATAAAAGCTGTATTTGATCTCAATCCTTACATTTGTCATTTGTTTAACATTAGGCTTGGAAAGTAGGCAAGTTTATATTGCATATATACTTAATTAAATTTTCATACATGATTTTATATCTCTAAAAATGTGATTTCTAACTTATTTTCTATTATTTTCATATAGGTTGAACATGGTAAAGGAGGATACTTCACATGTGTAGATGGAGACATTTGATCAAATTTTACATGACAATTTTTTTTTTTTTTTGGATCGAGTTTCATGTATTCAAGAAACTTGAATTTGTAGCAAACACATGGATGTTAAAGCACCTTGAGATATAGTTCATGCATTGAAGAACCTTTTAATGGAATTTTAAATTCAATTCCCATCTTATATTACGAGTTAGCTGTGCTTATCAATACAGGGAAGTAGGCTTCGCTACAGTCAACGAAAACCGTTTCTAAAGGGTTTTTAGCTAACTACACACATAGCTATAGATTGTTTCTCTTCTGCTACTGACAACATCAACCGTAGCTATAGGTAATTTTTTCTAACTACGGCCATAACTATAGATTGATGACTTTTGCTATGGACAACTTGGGTTCGTAGCTATAAATAGCTAAAAAGTCAAATTTATAGCTATGGATAACTTAAAAAACGTAGCTACAAATGCATTTGTAGTTATTTAGGTTAGGCTTTAGCTACGGGCATAAACCGTAGTTATAGGTTAGTTGTAGCTATGTATACGTTCAACCGTAGCTATTGCCTATAGCCACCGCGATTGTAGCTACCGTTTCTTGATCTTAGCCAGTCCATAGCTATAGACCTATAGCTACGGTTTTGTTCGTAGCTATAAGTGTATTTTCTTGTAATGATGGTTGTAGAGGGGCGGTTTGATGGAGGGATTGTGGAATGATAGTTTGATTTTGTAGTGATCAATGCTCCTTAGTTTGGTTCAGTTATAGAAGCAAGAGATATAATGAAAGAAAGAAGAAGAAGAAGACAAGAGAGAGAGAGAGAGAAGTAGCATAGTAGAGAAGAAAAACAAAGGAGAACAAAATTTGGTATGGATGCCATTATCATCAATGACGAGGATGCCCCATAATGACCGATACTAAGTGAACCAGAGCCTAAAATGCTGAGGGTGTTAGCGATTATGTCTTTAATGCTCAATAGATGGTGGCTTGGAATGATTGCCTCGAATAGGTTGTAGCCAAAAGGCCCAAAACGAAATTGAGGGATTCAATACATCTAAGGAGGTCTAGGGAGGTGAGTAGGGTCTAGCATTTACAAAGCCCTCCTTGAACCTGTTCCGTTGCCATCCCTAAGTAGATCCAGAAGGGGACTCAACATGTTCCATGGAGTATGAAACCAAGTATTAATATGTCGAGTACCTAGAGATCAAGCATGTACTATTTTTGGTTGAAAGAAAATTTGAATTAAAACAAAGAGTTTGTTGCTTAGTAGTTGCAAGGTTGTTTGGTTGGTTAACATCTTCCCTCCCCCATTAAATCCCAATTTCCTTTTAAATCTCTCTAATTCTCTTAATCCCTTGTGGCTCTCTCTAAATCCAAACCTAACCAAATTTCTATTCAAGTCCACACACTGCATGGGTTTAGTTAAATCCAAATGAACTTCATATTTGTATGTATAACTATCATATAAACATGTATTTATGCAAGTTACGTATGTATGTATATGGAATTATGCATCTATAATATGTATGCATTTTTTTGTTATATGTATCTATGCATTTATGTATGTATTTTAAGCTTAAACAAATCTACGCATTTATGTATGTATGCATATTGTATGTCAAAAATTTGAAGTTTACCCAGTTGTGTAGCCCTATGAAGTGAAAAAAATACGTGGGAAAAATGTTTCCAAAACATGACAATAATATTCTTTTACACATAATAATGCTAAAATTGAATTAAGTTGCAATCTTTAAAAAAAACTTCCAATCAGGATTGTTGAATAATTTAAGAAATAAGAACATTTGATCAAAAGAAACATGATAATAATATTCTTTTACACATACAGTGTCATTAATTATCCAGAAGGGGTGGTTGCCTACCATCGAATTTCCACCTATGGTCGAGAGTGCCTCCTCAAACACAGTGGCTGGTTTAATGAACTCCATTATGTTGCAGCCTGTGGAGTCATTATCATGGTCTTTATTCACCTGATGGTTGAAGACATGTGTTTCCTTTGCTGCGATGGTCTTTCAGATGGAGCGTATCGAAGAGCAAATGATTCACATGGCTCATGTGTTCTGGAAGACCGATCATAAGGAGTCCAACCCATTGTCTTCCATGGTCCTAGATGAACTCCGTATGCGGTTTGAAGATTGTGGATGCTTGCTTCTCGAAGACTGAGGAGAAGATAGCAACTCTTCTTAATGAAGCCACACATCATTAGAAGGGATTACTGTAGCTACAGGAGATCGTCAAGATTCAGGAGCATAGGGCAAAGTTAGAGGAACTCACCATGATACGCGAGTGGTTTAGCCTGAGTTAGATAAATGATTTGTATCCAGTAGTTTGATATTTTGTCATTTTTGCCATCTACATGTACAACTTGTTTATACTACTTAATGAAAGCACCCTTTTCTCACATGGGTCGTTTTGCTTTCTTATTGCTTTTTATTGTGTATGTTTCATTATTCCCATTGGTCAGGTAACTTACTATTTATTGGGAGCATGATAAAGTTCTGGAGTGATGTCAGCACATGTAAGCACTGCTTAATGAGTGAAAGAATAATTAAGGCTTACACTTAGTGTCATGTCGGTGGTGTATGTGGAGTACATGTGTTTTCGATGAATGTAGATTGTTGTCCAACCCTTGCGATGGGCCTTTAAGATCTCTCAAATCGGTGGTAGGCTTAGTTTGCAATTGGTGCATTGCGGTCATTTCTTTTTAGTTATGAGTATTTGTTGTTGTGCTTGAGTTGTGCTCGTGTGATATGGGCTGAACCCCCCATTGGTTAAGTCATGATCAATTGATTCTCTTTGTATAAGCAAAGCCTCACAGTCTTCATGCCTATCTGTTTGCGATGACTGGTTGGGCTGCGTAAGGTTTTCCTATTTGCTATATCATGTGCATAGCTCTGCTCTGGTATTATGGTGTTGTCAGAGGCGAGTGGTTGCTTGCGATCGCTGTGTCTTGTGTGAACTATTCGGCCAGGGTTGTCAGAACCTTCCTAGTGTTTGTCAAGAGGTGTGAACTCACATCTAGGGTTATCAGGGAATGTAGGATCGCTCCTGGGGTTGCCAGGGTGTGTAAAATCACTCTTAGGGTTGTCAGTGTGTGTAAGATCACTCTTAGGGTTGCCAGGGTATGTAATATCGCTCTTGAGGTTGCCAGGGTATGTAAGATTGCTCCTAGGTTTGCTAAGGTCTTCCTGGGGTTGCCAGGGTGTGTAAGATTGCTCTTAGGGTTGCCAGGGTATGTAAGATCGCTCTTGGGGTTACCAGGGTTTGTAAGATTGCTCCTAGGGTTGCAAGGGCATTTCTGGGAATGCCAAGGTGTGTAAGATCGCTCATGGGTTTTTCAGGGTATGTAAAATCCCTCATAGGATTGCTAGGGCCTTCCTGGGATTGCCAAGGTATATAAGAGGGCTCCTGAGGTTTCCAGGGTGTTGTGTAATTTATGCACAATTAATTCAGACAAGTGTACCTTAGTCAAATGTGCGTATAATGATGAGAAAAGTGTCGATCCCAGAGAGACTATATCACAATACCAAATCAATTTTAAACTAACCTAAGTTGAACTCGTGAATCAATTGAATGAATAAAAACTAAAAGAATTAATGCAAATCCAAGAACTTAATAAAAACTGAATTGATGGATGAATGCAGGTAGGGTTTAGATTTCATTAAATCAAGGTTACATAATTACCTATTTAATCCAACTCAAGATCGAAATTACCCTATGGTATATTAAAGTTATTTGCATGTGATGGTGGATTTCCCTAAATTAATTAATAAGCTTTCTCAAGTCATATTAAYCMTTTATTAATCCAATTMTACCATCAAATTTCTAAGTGGTTGTCAAAAGGAAAAATAARCATTAATTTCTTTGGAAACCTCTAATCGTAGAAGGGGATTTGACTCACTAAACTTCCTTGATTCCCACACATGAGCTAATTATCTTTCGATATCATAGTCTATCATGCGATTTTTATTGCCTAGAGATCTAATTCATAACAATCATTTGGTCAGCAATGCATGAATCATCAAGTCATTAAAAGATTGACCAATTCTTTTAAAGCATTAAGCATAACAATAAAAATTCCTCATGCAAATAATAAAGGTCTTGAATTGAATTAAACAAATAATTATATGATCTTAAGATCAAAATCCATCTAAACCCTAGTTAAGAGAATTTAGCTAGACATCATTAAATTCAACATACTCAAGAAAATTAAAGGGGAAACACAACAAGAATACATCAAAGGATGAATAGAATAACAAGAAAACTTTAGCCTTTGAAGGTAGAAGACAAGTGCAGCAACTAAGCCTTTCTCCCTCTTGAATTCAGAATCTTCCTCTCCTTCTCTGGCATGCTGAAATTGTTTCCTCTTCTCTTCTGATGTGCTGAGATTGCTTCCTCTTCTCTTCTCTGCTGAATTCTCTTTAAGGATGTGCCCCCTTGCCTTGAGTCTATGGTCATTTTTATAGTGTAGCCTCCCCTCAATTGCTTCTCAATGCAAACTCCTAATTCAACACAAATTAAGTCTATTAGTCTTTATCTCAATTGAATTCCTATCTCTTCTGCACTGACAACTGCTAGACCCGAAACTTGTAGCTCGAATTGCACTTGGTTGGCGGCGGAATTAGGTTGAGTGATAAACATAAGAGTTGTATCCCTATCTCTTAGCTTTAATTAGCCATTTGAATCACCTCAATCCGAGTTGTAGGCATAAAGTTATGCCCAAAATACGGGAACTATATCAAAACAGGAAATATCCCGATTTTTGTGTTTACATATCAAATCCGATTTCAATGGATTCTCTCCTTCATGGCTACATCATGGAGCATCATTGCTGCATGGTCCTTCCTCTATGATTGTCTTGATCAATTAAATCGAATTCCTTCTTAAAATTGCACAATTAAGCTCCAAATCATCTTGCAAGACAATTTCATCATAATTAGTGCAATACCATGCTAATTCCAAAAACATTTTTACCAAAATCATCAAGTTAGAGGTATGAAAATATGTACAAATATAGGCTTATCATAGGGTATGTAAGATCGCTCCAAAGGTTGCTAGGGTGTGCAAGATATTCATTGATTTGGACATGTCAAACAGTTAGTAGCAAAAGATAGACATTATGCTTCCTATAATGATTCAATTATCACATGTTTGTGGTGGATG